GTAGCATTAGCCTTGCTCTCTAGATCTTTCCTTCCGTGTCCAGGTTTTCAATCTGTAAGCTTTTAAAGAGTTTATAAAATTTGTCTTTGAGGTGCCCATTTTTATTCTAATAGTCACATATGGGACGATTGTTTTTGAATTTTGAGTCACAGGAAGAGTTATGGGAGTATAGAGCTAAGTTTTCAGCACTTGGTGAACTATCATTTCCAGTCATCATAAGCTTCTTTATACTCTCTTCTCTACCAACTTTTGCAAAAGCTTCATGGGTATAGATACAAGAGGCTATATTCACATGATCCTCCCTCTCCCTTCATCCAATTCCTTAGCCCCACTAAGAATTTGAAAGTTCTATTCTTCTTGATAGTGGATTTATACATCATTGCATCATATGGATATTTCCACACATCTCAAATATATCCAATTGTAGCCAATATTTTGTCAATGTGTTAAAATATTGGGTGACATTTAGATCACATTGACGAAGATCATATAGTTTGATTTCAATCTCAAATAACTCTGCAGTATTCTTGATGTTGAAATAAGTTTCTTTTGTAGCCTTCAAGATTTTTTTCGTTATTTTGTAGAGAGAAATATTCTCATACTTCAGTGCTCGCTAAGTGGACTATCCAAGACATAATTATATGGTTTTGAAGCTTTCATATGTGATTATTAGGATCAATGAACTCAAGAACTGCGCCCTTTTCTGTGAGATTTTTCTCTTTTCTTTTTCAACAAATGTAAATAAACAAGTATTGAGACTATTGAATGAAGTTATGGCTACTGAGTTTATGATTTGTGATAAAGGAAGATAGTTTAGGAGTTGTTTGGACATAATTCGTTGTCTCTAATTCAGAACTAACCTTTGGAGTAGAACTATACATCTTTATTTCGTACTTGTAAACCCCATGCATGTTTAGAGTTGGATAAGAGAGTTAGTTGTTGCTTGCTATAGGAATGGAGGACTACCGTTGCAAGAGGAGTCCAATAGCTATAATATGAAGCAGAGGAGGGATTGTACGTTGGTTGAAGGGATTCTGGAGGCTGCAGGGAGGATTTAGGCTATTGGATGATTCTTGGAGAGGCTTGAGCAGTTGTAAGAGCGAGCAGAGCAAGGCCCACTGGTTGAAGAAGAGCTAGAATTTGTTTCCTTGCTCTGATACCATGAAGAAAAAAAAAACTTAAGAGAAAATATTCATTTAATTCTCAATATCAATCTTCAGCCATAAGACTACATGTACTGGGAAACCAATCTCTCCTAATTTATAATCTTACCAAATATAGCTAGCCTAAACATGGAAAAAAAATATTTCTAAAATAAACATAAATTGGACGAGAATAAAAATGAATCAAGGAATTTTCTAAATTGTCTCCAATTACTTCATCCATCATAAAAAGTCGCACCCTCATAAAGAGTTGCATCCAAGGTTTCATTTGAAGTTGTTATCCAAAGCACCTCTCTAATAAAAGCAACATATTATGTGTATACCTTGCATCTAAGACCTCGCCAAACCAAAATTCTTATGTATATTGAGAGTAATCCATCTAATGTCGCATATAAGATTCTTATCGCACTAGCTAGATTTTTGACAAAGTCAATCCCACAAATAGATTTGGGCAATGAATAGAAAGAGATATTTTATACTTATGAATTTGCATACAATATTTGTTAAAAAAAATATTTAAAAGGCAATCCACAATTTATAAATATCAAACACAACTACTCTTGTATGATAAAAATAAAGCCTAAGATTGTTTTTCCAGAAGCAAGCAAGTATAAAATGAAAATTTATTTTTATAAAAATAGTAGCTAAATGTGAGAAATAGACAAAGTCAAGTCATGATCCACTCAATACTAAAAAGCTTTCATCACTGTCCTTTAAAAAATTCAGGTCCATTTGAGGGACTACAACATTTTGTTGAAGTAGCAATAAAATTATTGTGAAGAAAATAACTTTTTTTAAAATCATTATAATTGTTACAAATATTTCCCCATTTTGAAAAATCCAAATAACTTTCTTATATCTATTGCACTTTCGAATATCTAATTGTAAATAATAACTTTACACTACAAATTTTTTTAAAAAATAATAAAAAAAATAATAGCAAAATAGAAACTGGAAGTGGTCTGAAAGCAAAGCAGTCAAAATGTTGCCCCAAACATTCCCTAAATAAAAGAAAATGTCATTTAAACTTTTGCAACACATTGAACCTAATGCTTACAAATGGAAAATTCTTAAAAATTTTAGCTTAAATCTAGTGGTCTATATGTCTGATATGGTCTTATTTATAAGCCAATTGTTAATACCTTGAATTCTCCCTCTTTAACCACTTCATGATGAATCAATATCCCTTTTAACATAGTTTATTCAAAAGGCTATATTAGATGAAAAGATTGCGACCACTATTGATGATGGCTTTAGAGACGTTTTGTTCACTAATGAGATAAAATTGTTTGTGATGATTAATAAATTACTCTGTATGAAGCACATAATTAATGTTCAAATTTACACGAAAAATATTAAATGCTAAATTCATCAAGCCAAATTTATCTAGATTGGAATCCTTGATGGAAACATTGAGTTCATTCTCAACGAACCTATTGCATCAAGTAGTGATCAAACAAAATGTACTAATTCCTTTTAGATTGTTGGATTATTTTATTTTATTTATTATTTCTATAATTAATAGCATGCTAGTTCAAATGAATTAGCATGGTTTTGATCTTCATTCGGTTAAGGTTATTTCTCATATTAGTAATATGAATGTGATTTAGAGGGGATGACTTTCTGTATGCGGTAAATAATGGAATTCTCTTTTTTTCTTTAAGTAGCGGAGTTTAGTTTTATCCATTGTATAGCCATGTATATTTTTTGTGTGGGATATTTTGATGGAAAGTAGTGGTTTATTATAAATGTTATTTCTAAACTGTGAATTTGCCTCTTCAGTTGCAACATATATCTATGTAATACTTTGTGGCATTTGTTATTGGAGTTGCCCAATAAGCCATGAGATCCACCTAGCATGATGACTATTGGGATAAAGAGTTTGGGATTTTAAGTTGAAAATTGAATTGATTATTATCTTTTTAGAGAAATTAAAATTTGAATTGAGCTTAATCTAATGCCAACCATATCTAGTAGTAAAGGGATGAGGCTTTAAAAGTAGATATTAGGGGTAATTAGGAGGCATATATATAAATAGATACTATGAAGAAAGTAATACAAACACTTCAGTTGAATAAAATTGCCTTTTGAATTTTTAATTTTATTTGTTTAAATTAAATGTGCAATTCCTTCGAGTGTGGAATAAGTGACCTTAATCCTGGGTAATTCATCTCCTTATATAGATATAAGCCTTAATTTTTCTTATTTTTGATATTTCAATTTGATGTTCTTATTTAAATATACATAATTTAATATTGCCTTTTCATTGCCCTTGACTTTGTTTACTTGGCACAACAAAAATTTTGTTTGTGAGAATTATTTTACAAATGTTCATTGACTTTGCTTGACTATAAAATCTTACTGATTTCTTTGGGTTATTACAATCATTTTGTCATCATTTGGGTTTAAATTCTAGTAAAGATTGTTTACATTTAAAAAGGCAAGTTGTGAATTAATTGTCAACTTGTAAATTATGAATCCTTGAATTCCTTTGGAAGAAGTCATAATATGCATCATATTAGTTGTATGAAAAACCCCTAATCCAAAGTCATCCAACATCACTATCCCACCACAAGTAATGCAACAAACAAAGGCATCATTTGAGTCATTTATAGCTTAGAAGAAATGTCATCTTAGTCACAAATGCGGCATGATTGATTCACTAATTACTAAACTTTCTAGTTGCTAACATTTCAATTTACTCCAAGACAACCGCTAATTAAATGTTGGTCCATTATCACATGATAGGCAACATCTACTTTCTAGCAATGAAGATCAAATATATGAGAAAGAAAAATGTGAGAAGTATCTCAAATGATCATTATGGATGATAGAAAATCTTAAAAAAAAACATTAATTAAATAAATAGAATACAATGTCTATCAAACAACATCAAAATCTCCATGAAATTAAATGTTAAATAACACTTAACCTAAGAAAAACCCCTTTAACTGCTCATTGGTCGCTTATTGATAGTAAATATGCTTTGGAAAATAATAATTTCAATTTTAGTTTTTTGTGTAAAAAAGAAAGCATCACTTATGATGCATTTTGAGGATAATTTTAGAGCCTAAAGCAATATTAATTTCTAAAAATGGCCAACAAAATGATAGAATATGTTAACTTTGTCTTCTAAAACATATTTTCTAACTTCAAGAAACCAAATGACCTAATACTATAAAAATAACTTAACTTCCTAAAGCCCTTCATTTTTTTAAATATTGAGAGAAATTTTAACTATATTATTTGAATGATCTTGGAGAAATAATTTTTCCCTTTAAATAATGGGACATGGTTCCTTTCACCAGAGCCCTTCCCTTCTAATAATGCTTAATTTAGGTGATGTTTGGTAGCCTATTGATAGGAGGATTTAGAAATAGATTTAGCTTAAATCCGACCAAACACAAAAAACAGAACATTAAATCCAACGCTTTGTTAAACCAAATTTTCTCGTGTTTTCTTGTTTTCCTCCCATTTCATCTTTTTACACGTAAATCTAGATTTATTAAATCCGAGTCGCAAGTGGATTTACGAGATTATTCTTCTATGGCTTTGAAGCTTTTCTTCGTCAAAATAAATTTGATAAATCCAGATTTACTAAATCATGTTTAACGTAAATCTGTGATGCAACCGAACACCACCTTAATTTATCCAGACTACCAATAAAGAACGTTTGTCCTGTCAATGTTCTCTAATCTTTCACTAACACATACCGTTTTAGGCACCATCCTTAAGGAAGTTCATCAACCCAAAATCCCAAGGCTATTCGTTAAACTCTTATCAACTTTCTACCACATGATGTTACAGGTGACATAACAGTGCAGAATCGAAGAGTACCGTTTGCGTGTGCTGCACAATGACAGCCCGCTCACCAGATCCCTCAGAAAAAAGCGTGCTCTGGTTTCCTGAATTCAACCATTTAGAATCAGCAGTAGGCTTCAGCTGAACCTGGCCACGAACAACGACCAGCTTGCCCTCGTCCTCGCATTCTCCTTCGGATGCTGCGAGGAGTGACCGGAGCTCTGAGATGCGGCATGAGGGCGCAGAGCGGATTCGGTCCAGGGAGGAGGAAGAGGCGAGATACTTAACCCAGGAGGTCGCTGCACAGATAGCAAGGGCAACGCCAAGGATCGCCCCGTCGCCGGCGACAGCCACGCGCGCAACGGCAGCTGCGGCGGCGTGGTCGCGAGATGACATGGCGGACGAAGGGGAAATCGGATTCAGATATGGCAGTTACGAAGAGCGACAGAAATGTATGGGATTTACCGCGATGTCTGGGCATAGGCTGGGCGTCTAGACAGATTACTGGTTCTAGGTCAACTGGATAATAAGTTGCCCATTTATTTATTTTTTTTATAAATATATATATA